AAAATTCCTAATGGGCCGATTTGTGGTCTTATGCGCCCCCGTCCTTTCATTAATTTAATAAATAATCGAATAATTGATTTATGTTGAAAGAAAGAGCTTTTCATAATCTTTATAAAGTTGTTTATTCATTTGTGTTTCTAAGTGGAATTCATTTAGAGAATATGAATGTCGTCCTTATTTTCCTTTAGGATTCTCGATTAACCATAGACACATCGCTTTTTCAAATTCATTAGACCATTGTAAAAAGTGAAAATGATCATAAATACGATGTACAGTACCGATTGGATCTTTTATTAAATCTTTATATTGAATATTGAAAACATTTTTTCGAGATGATTCTCGACTGTTGAATTCGAAAATACAATCTATCCTAATATCGATGAATTTTGGTATCATTTGTCCTAATATTATTTTCAAATTAGGGATGTCATCTTCATTGAAATAATGGCTTAATAGAGAAAGAAACAGACTACATGCTGAAGGTATAACTTCGTTAAGACAACGATGAGGCATGATAATTGACGCTTGTGGATAATATTTAAGTAATGTATTAATATAATGTGCATGTATTGGACTTTTTAATTGCCAGTGTGTACGCGGTGGATCAACATCATGTAACATTTGTAATACAGTCTGATGGTATTTGTATGCGAAATCCTTATTTTCTTGATTAATCAACCATGTGAAAAAATTTATCTCTTTATATGCAAGAATACAGTACGAAAATACGAGTCCAACATCATCGAGTAAAACTGCATCTTCTTCAGTAGGAAAAAAGGATGTGATGCAGAATGATTTGTTTGAAATTTTTCAATATCATATTGGACAGTTTTGAATACTCTTGCATCGATATCTGCTTCAGCTTTTGCTCGACGCTTGTGTTCATCAATATTTGATCGTAAAATAGGGGGCACTGGTTGCTTAGTCATATCAGTTACAAGAGGAGCTCAACATGATGGATCACAAGCCATTAGATTGTGTAATAATGTTGTACCAGTACGAGGTAAACCACAAATAACAATCATTGGAACATCGCTGATTTTTTCTTTTGTTTGTAATGGTTTTGTAGCTAAATAATTAAGAATATTTGTGACATTATTGTGACTGCGAATCAGCTTTGAACAGATAATATGTTTTCCTTCAACTGAAAGCAGATTATTGGTAAGGATACAACGACCACAATAATTAAGACTTTCGATAATTTCCTTATGAAAAGAAAACAGACGTTTGGCTTCATTGCTTAAATCATCTTCATTTAGATCAAGGTCATGAAGAAGCTCACAATCTTCATTCGTTTTATTTGTCATCATTCTTTTTAAAAAGATAAAAATTATATGATGCTTTAGCAAATAATGATTGTAACGATTTCTGATGAAAGAGATTGGTTTGGGTGGAGTTATCCTTTATTTTCCTTCAATTAGAAGTTACAGCTACTTTTTCTCAAAGCAAGCGTTTATATATCTCTCTTATCGGGAGAGAAAGAAAAAGAAAAGAACAAAAAAAGAGAGAGATGGAGAAAATATGTACGACATAAGGAAAACAGTATCCAAGAGAAAGATATGAATATGAGAAACGAGAGAAGGAGTATTTGTTTCATAACTGGCAATGAACTAATCTATAGAATATATATGGTTATGACAGGAAAAATAACAATTCTAGAAAAAAGAAGGAGAAAGGGAAGAAGAAGATTAAACAAAATGCATTAACAATGAAACTCAGCAAAACAGTGAGAGTATATAATGATGTACGATAACCTAAATACGAAACATCACAATGACTATATAGTTATTGTTTATCATGTGCGTTACATAACGAAGTAGATAATAATGTTTAAAGAGATATTAAGATGCACTTCTCGATAGTATGCGTATAGGTTTATGAAGACAAAAAAATGCCCTATTCGCTTGTTTTCTTTTTACGTGTAATCGTTCTTTTTTTAACGTTTTCACCTTCAAAAAAAAAAAGAAATAAACATTCTCTATATTGTCTAAAGATTTATTATTTTGTGGTCGAGTTTCGTCATTATCAAAGTTCATTGTCATCAAGATTTAAAATACATTCATAGAAGTAGATGGTATCTTAGTATTGTGAAGAGATATCAGATGTAAAAGATAGTCTTAACTATTAATAAACTAATTTTCATAATAAGTTTGTTGTGGTGAGTATAAAATATTAATAAGTAGGAATCATGGCTCCCCGTGGGATGGGATTGTCCCATTCCATGGGACGAACATCTATTTATACAAAAAGATTTTTTCCAGTGAAGTTGACGAGAAATGAAATTTTGTCGTAAGGGAAGTTAACAGCGAATTCAAGTATTCCTTGCTGACATTCGCTCCTAGACTTGGGTTGGCTTTCTAAATGGTTGGATTAGATACAGAATTAAATTTTCTATCAATTACTAATATTTTCAAGGTGGGATCACCGGAAGAAATAGGGATTTGGCTCGAAATATTAGATTTTCGGGTCCATCCTGTGGTAATCCTTGCTGATATTCGCTCCTAGACTCGTGAGCACGGGTGTATGGGTGTGTGGTTCTACGTATCTCAACTCACACCCACACCCTGCGTTATTTGAACACGATCATTAACATTTTTTTTTCTATTTAGACGAGACAGAAAATTCTGATTCTACATTTTGTTGTTATTTCAATTCAACAGATTATATTGAACTGAACGAAAATGATATATTTTATTTCAACATATAATGTTATATGCAGATGGTAGAAAGAAATTCATATTCTCATACACAAAGCTTTTCTTCAAAGGTACTACTGGAATGTCTTATATGATCAGATATCACTTGTCTTTTGCTGTTAGAATTCGACTTATCAAGCGATAAAATCTGCAAAATTTATTCTCAATAGTTATTTAAATGATGGTTTACTAACACAACAATATTGTTGAGTCAAACAAAAGTTTGAATGATTTTCAAGTAATAAAAATTTAATAATTTTTTATTGCATTTTCTTTTATAACAAAAAAACTAGAAATAATTCTCAATTGTAAGACTATTCATGAATCTTATCCAACAGAATATTTGATTTATTTAAATTCAAAATGCATATGTCATTGGTGATCTCGTTAATACAAGTGTTACAAAAGTTCTTAGATATTTATACCATGCATATAATATGTTTTTTATTTACTGGCAATTGATTTAGAGTATGTCAAGATAAAAATATTGCTTGTTACAAATTATCTCTTGAAATTTATATGAAACTTTCTATCAAAGTCTTTTGATTAATCAGGGTAAAATTAGGTCTGAAGGGTTCTTCGACTTTATATTAAATTTACACTAAACACTTAGAAAATTCTCTTAGAGCTCAAAGTTCTTGAATAGGCATACAATCTATATGAATGACCTGTAAAAATCTATTCGATGGTATGAAAATTTAGGATCTACAGAAGTATCACTACTTTTTTCAGATGCAGTCGTAGAATATTTTTTAGATTTTTGTTCGTACTCACATATAGTATTGAATCTTTTTTATTTTGAAATATAAAAACAAATACAATGAAAGAAATCGTCAAACTTTGATTGATTTAAATTTATGTATATTTTACTTATGCGAAATCATTAGAAACATTTGAAATTTTCAGAAGAGATACAGCTTGATGAGTAGAGCAAAAGTTGTTAGAGACTTAAAATTCTCGGATACCGTCTTCCATAAGATACTGGGATCACAATAGCGACAAAAGATCCAGATTCTCGTCACCGCTCCTCCAAGATACTATGTTCGATCAAGCAGAAAACTTTTTACAAGTACTAGGCATTGTTATGTTTGAGTATCTTTTTTTTGTAAGAGCTACTGAAAATCAGTGAAACAATATTTTTTGAAAGAAAAAAAAACAAAAAATACTCATCCCAAACAGCATCTAGTATTGGTGGAAAACCTCCAGGTCGACTGGACATACTACGCCGGAGAAGTGGAGATGCTTCTGCATATTTCTGTTATTTCGCTATCGTCGTTAGGTAAATTTAATTTCATCTTGAAATTTGTTAATTTTAAAACACAACTGTCAGAACCCAAAAGGGTGTGGGTGTGGGTGTAATTCTAGTATTCTGCCACTCCCACACCCACACCCTTATTTGTACTCGAATTCATCTATTCCATAAATGGGTGTGACAAGCCGACCTGATACCTCAAGATATAGGATAAGAAATAATATTATTCCAGGAAGGAGTATCTAATGAATTTTATATCAAATGAAAGATCGTCAAAAATGGGATTTAATGGTACTAAATAGTAAGGGATTTGTGAAATTTGTAATGTCGAAATTAAGAAATTTTGAGAAATTTCATACATTTTTGACATAGAAAACTAAGATGCTAGTAATTCAAAAATGGAGTAAAAATTTTTTTCTTGAATATTTTTACATAATTTGATAGAGTTCGCCGAGCTCTACAAAACTGTATATATTGGAATTTTTTTGCACTGTTTTTTTTAAGATAAAAAATTCAAAAAGCTGCTTGGAAAATTTTTAAAAAGTGTTAAACAACTCATATTTTCTATATGGAAGAAAAATACGAGATTTTTCCATAAAATTAGCTTTTTTCATTATTTTTATCACCTCCCATGTTTCGAAATACATTCAATAGATGCAACGTGGAAAACTGAATCGAATAAGTGTATTTCGAAACATGGGAGGTGATAAAAATAATGAAAAAAGCTAATTTTATGAAAGAATCTCGTATTTTTCTTTCATATAGAAACTATGAGTTGTTTAACATTTTTTAAAAATTTTCCAAGTAGCTTTTTGAATTTTTTATCTTAAAAAAATGGTGCAAAAATATTCCAATATATACAGTTTTGTAGAGCTCGACGAACTCTATCGAATCATGTAAAAATATTTCAGAAAAAAATGTTTACTCCATTTTTGAATTACTAGCATCTTAGTTTTCTATGTCAAAAATGTATGAAATTTCTCAAAATTTCTTAATTTCAACATTACAAATTTCACAAAACCCTTACTATTTAGTACCATTAAATTTCATTTTTGACGATCTTTCATTTGATATAAAATTCATTAGATACTCCTCCCTGGAATAATATTATTTCTTATCCTATATCTTGAGGTATCAGGTCGGCTTGTCACGCCCAAATGTATCATTTGTTGTAAAATAGAACTTAAAATATTTGCATTTTAAAGCCAACTCTAACGTACATGTGAATAAGATGTTTGTTTTGTTTGGTTGTGTGGCTTGTTGGCCTATACTATCATAGAATTTTAAAGAAAAACAATTTAACCCTTTGGGGACCAAGGACGTATATATACGTCCTCACAACTGAAACAGAGGACCCAAGTGCTTTGGATATTTCGAAGTGGAATCATTGTATATTTTATTTCCTTTTCCACCAGAGAGTTCATTGTCATACTCTATAGAAAGAAGAGCCAGCGCCACAAGTATATAGTTCATAATTTCTAAGTCATACCTAATTTCCACGATACCGTTTACCTATTCTCGAAAAAAAAGTCGATCTCCAGAGGATTATGTTAAGCTTGATAATTTTCAAACAAAAAGCAGTTTTAAAGAACAATTTTCTAGAGCTTATAGATCTTTACAGGATGTTGAACAAGTATAATATACCATATACTGAATGCCCTAAAATGATTGCAACATGATTTGTTTTGTGAATATTTCTCTATACACAAAGGATATAGTAATTTTGGTTTTTTTTTTCTAAAAGATGCGTCTTGAAAAGCTCTACAAAATCCTGTATTAACAATCTGCTCTGGATTTGTTCTGATAATTTCTTCTATGATCAAAATGAAAAAGCATACATAATACTGCTACTTCTAACAGCATTTCGCATAATATCTCATCTAGAACAAATGATAAAATCTTTCGTTGTTTTTTTAAAAGATACATCATTAAAAACTTCATGAAAGATATATAAATAAAGGGTGTGGGTGTGAATGTGAGTATGGGTGTGTTGATAGGTAAAATCAAATCTACACTCACACACCCACCATTTGCTCAGTCGTTTCATATTATCTATTTTCGTTTTACTTCGTCTTGATCGTCTAGAATACCCCTGTTGTTTATACTGTATATTTGACTTGTCAGGCTCCTCTTCAATATCCATCATAAAATTGTTCTAATTTTCAAGAACAATAAATCAATATCAATATGTTTTATTATGTTGATTTTCCCACCTGGCAGACATATACACAAATTTAAAATATTTTAAACGAATTTTCTTCGTAAGACTCTTTTTTTTTTGATTTCATAAGACAGAATATGGTTATTATTAACTTTTAATGAATATATTTATCATTTTTAAAAGTTAACACTTATCATTAGA